GTCAGACAGTACAAACTGGACTTTGAAGAAGTCACTTGAAGGGCAGTTATAGTTCAACACCAGCTACACAGGCACCTTCTCAGAATGTTTCCTGTGGCTATCCAAGCCACACTAATGCAATTCACCAACACTGTTACTGAAACTTTGACCTTGTGGGAGTAATGCTTGGAGAGTTCACTATTAAACTCCAACTGCAAGATTACTGTGGGCAACTGAGCTCGTCAGAAACATGTTGATTCAAGACTTTTGTCTTTATTTCCAGTAAGAGGCAAGCCCAAGTTCATCTGCTAACTTCCACATCAGAAATGCACGGTTTACAAGTTCTCTTGGAACAAACAGTTACAACAGTCAACTGCAGGGCACCATCCAAAGGTACAGCAAGAAACTAGACTCTGTGTAGGGATGTCCCCACTTGGAAAGATGACTGTGATAGTCTGACATGACCGTGGAATGACAGATTTCAGGAAAAACTTTGTTTCAAAACTATAAAGGCTAACACTAATTTTAAAATATAAGTGGGTAACCTTTTTTACACAATGAGCTAAAAGCCTTCAGAGGAAGCAGTTTAAGGAGAGTCCTAGCAACGTGCTCCAAAAATTATGTCACCAGATAGGTCTTAAGCTAGTGCACAACTTACACAGAGAAAGCCAATGCAAAACAAGCCTTACGTGGACTGCCTCAGCCACTCGGTGATACTTGGTCTCCTCAGTAGTGAGGCCTTTGTGGGGAGTGTAGCCAGCATCTCTCAGCCCTGCCTGCTGCTCAAAGCGCTGAATGCTCTCCTGAGTCTGCTCTGGAACGGACAAGAGCACATATTCACACAGAAATGCCACCACAAGCAGTTCTAGCAAACAAAGGCAACTTAAGCAACCTAATGCAAGACCCTTTTTTCATCATTCATACCTACATGTTGTGATGAGCTGACAGAGGCAGCAAGATGAAGCTAATGAGATATTCTGACTTTAAAACTATCCTGAGTCATAGGGCTAAGTCAAATGAGCAGTGATTTGTCCCAAATCACCAGATGTATTACAAATGCAACACCTGTAATTAAACTCATCTCACCCAAGAAGTTGCATCACTCCTAATTACAACTTCCTAAATCTAGGAGACCCCAATAAGCTGGACATTTTAAGTAGCCCTCTAGATTCAAGGGAGGTTTTTTTGCCAACAAAAAATGAAGTCTTCTGAACGACTGCCCAGACTAGCTAATCTGACAATCACAGCCAGCGATTGTCTCATGTCAAAGAGCCAGTCTTTACCACTGGTGGTAAAGGCGGTAAGACTCCCAGTGATTCTAGATTAGGTAAATAAGCTATTTCAGCCAAATACAGAGCCAGCATATAATACACTGATATCAGCTTCAGTTCTGAAAAATATAAGCACTTTCCCCCCCCCCCCACTACCAGCATAAAATGTTCACTCCCTAGTGGAACCAAGAAAAAAGTCAAAAGGAATTAGAGCACAAAAAGATTACTGGAAAACCCCAATGTCTTCTTAAACAGATAACAATTCCCACATTAATGTTAAAGTTATTTGCAGGGATAGTGCAAATGATAGATGAGAAATCTAGAGGACCTTTGTCTGTTTATTTCCAACTTGTGACTGAATGTTCTTCCTGGGAGGTGTAGGTTGGGGCTCCTGACTTCTTACTGCACAAGAACGTTTTTAGGCCATCATTGTTTTTCCTAGATTAGCATTTTATCATTAGACTAGAACAGGAGCTGCTTTCCAGAAGAAAGTTCATATTCCTGGATTTTATTTTGTGATGTGTTGGTTATTTTTGAGCCAAGACTGAAATAAGTGCAGATGTATAGCTATTTCAAAATGCTGGTCTGAAAATCTAGAAGTCTTTGGAAGCACTGCTTGGAGGAAAAGGTGAAGCTCTGATCCCAGCTGCTAAAAGAAGAGGCAGCAGGGAGAGATTAACACATGATTAATTCCTCTTGTCAAACAGGCATGTCTTCTCTGCAAGCATAACTGACCCAATTTGATTTTAAAGCATTATGATTTATGAGGTTTGTTTTTTTTTAAAGTAAGCATTACTGTTAGTAAGACAGCTGCTGCTGCTATTAACTAACATAAATGCCAGCAAGTGCTCCATTAGCACAGTACATCAGCTCTCCACACCACTTTGGTTAATTTTAGAGCTTTACCTGCCATTCAGAAATAGCAAGTTAATAAGCAAACAGAGTAGCAGCAGCAGCCGCCTCTGCACTCCAGCAACAAGGTGGCATGGACTGCAGCATCCTATCAGCAGATAACATACCCTGCACTCCTCCCTCATCACCCACCTCCAGCACCTGGAAACAGAGGCAATAAGTGTGGCCTATTCCCTAGTTCCTTGCTTCCTTCTAGAAGCATCCTCCAAAAAAACTCATACAGCTCAAGAGCAGAGTCAGTCTGAACCCACAAGCTGTCCAGGAACTCTGGTAGTTACCTTGAGGCATTACCAAGCCAGAGCACACTCATGTGCCCACACCCCATTAGCCACCACATTAGAGGTGAGAGTTCTTACTTGTAATGAGAGAGTTCATGATGATGTGAGTAGCCTTGGCCTTCACCACAGGTACCTTGTTCACACTTTCAGTGGATGATGAAGGAGTTATAACAGGTGCATTCATGTTAGCATCCCCTTCCTCAACCTGTGGGGAAGAAGCAGGGCACAGTTTGAGAAAGTATCTCAGCACCTTGCCAGGACATATCTCTAGCTACTCAAATGAGACACAAAGTCAAGCTGCTCTAGCAGCTAGCCTTCATCCCACAGAAGAAACCCGTACACTGTTCTCACTACAGCCCAGGAATGTTTAGAGCTTGAACCTTATAATTCTTAGCAACAAGCAAGCAACTTGCATCCAACATCTGAAAACCTACCAAGCTCAGAGCCAACAAGTTGTTAGTCTAAGTACAAGAAGGTCAACAGGAAAGAAACCAGAACATATCTACTTCCATTCTCGTAACTGCAAATTGGACTTCAAGGTCAACTGGGCAAGAGCACCCCTCCACAGACAGCTCAGATACAGAATGGCAGTCACACAGATTAGAGGCTGGTATTTAGATCTTGTTTTCCTCCTCATTCCTTATATCAGTTTCTTGCTCAGTGTATCTAGCAGTCATAGTTCTACCACTGATCACGCGACCCTAGCAACAAAGAACCAGACAATGAATGCTAGAAAACAAGAAATCTTGTGAAACACAGACTTCCTCCTCCTAACACAGGAGTTACTGTTCCCTGACTGGACAGTTTGCTTTTTGTGCCAAACCACAACTTTAGGTTTTCTTCCACGAGAAAGATTTTAAAACAAAACAAGGTGAAAAGTAGAGGTTAAGCTCAAAGGGATGCAGTTATTTACTTCCATTCAACAACATTTAACTTCACTTCAAACTTAGAAAACAGCCTCTAAATTTAGAAGAGCTGGTCCTGCACTCAAAGCATCCCCACAGTCGTTTCACAGAACAGTTTGGGTTGAAAGGGACCTTCAGAGACCATCTAGTCCAGCCCCCCTGCTGCAGGCAGGGACACCTTTCACTAGATCAGGTTGCTCAAAGCCTCACCCCCCCCGACTTTAAACGCTTCCAGGGATGGGGCATCCACAGCTTCTCTGGCAACCTGTTCCAGCGCCTCACCACCCTCATAGTAAAGAATTTACATCCAACCTAAATCTACCCTTTTGCTCTGGTTTAATTACACCTGGTTACAGCTCGCAGCTTTTTTAC